TGCTTTTGTTTTTGTTGTTTTTGTTTTTCGAGACAGCCCTGGCTGTCCTTGAACTCAATCTGTAGATGAGGCTGGCCTTGAACTCAGAGATTCCCCGGCCTCTGCCTCCTGAGCATTGAGATTAAAGGTGAACGCCAGCACTGGCCAGCCTGGGATCCCAGGGCAGCTTCACTGATAGGTGACGGAGGCGGAGAAGACATTTGGCATGACCACATACGCTCCTGTGGGACAAAATGGACGGAGCTTAATAGGAACGCAGAACTGGGCACCGTAAACAAACCTAAAATGGGAAAGACTGGCTTGTAATTATCCTGAGAACACTTTGAGTTCTAAAAAATGCAACTCCATCTCCCTAGTCCGGAACGATCCAGGTTTACCTAAATCACCTGGTTTAAGTCTGCTGAGCAAGCGGTTTATCCAACAACTGTCCTGTCTCCAGGTGACCAGCGGGGTAGGGGAAAAAGGCGAAGGAAGACTGGGCACTTCTGCTGGAGAACCGGAAAGTGGGGCAAACATTCAGTGACGTCACAAGCACACCGCGTCACCCGGTTGAAACGCTTAAATGAAACAGCAAGTCCTCACACTACCTAAGCCAAGGCTGCACACCCGCACCGGAGTTTTAACTGAGCAAGCCACAGATGTTTAGTTCCTCACAGGCTAAAACGCGTCTCCTCACGATACTGAAAGAGCAGGCGACGGAATACACACTACGAGAGGTGCGATCAACTATGGACAGACTGTTCTTGTTCCATCAAAGAATTAATCAATTGCGAAGAGGTGAAAACGACTCATTGCATTGTTAGCGTGTATCAGGAAAGACGACTTCCTCAGGGGTTCATACATGCACCAAGCCTCGAGTAGTTTAATTCATGGCCAGTACTTTATACCTGACATACACCTGACTTCATATATATTCAAAACCCTCTCTGTGCATGAAAATCGCATGATTATCTGAGTAATGATGTGAATGCTTGATTACCTGCTCCATGGCCTCTGCTTCAGTTCCTGCCTTGGTTTCTCCGGGTGATGGACTATAATCTGTAAGCTAAAATAAACCTTTCCCACCTGTGGAGCTTTGAGTAGTACGGCCCCCATAGACTCGCGTGCCTGTATGAATGCTTGGCCCCCAGGGAGTGGCACTATTAGTAGGTATGGCCTTCTTAGAGTAGGTGCGGCCTCATGGGAGAAAGTGTGTCACTGTGCAGGCAGGCTTTGAGGTCATATATTGAACAAGCTACATCCAGTGTGACACACAGTCTCTGCTGCCTGTGAATCAAGATAGAGAACTCTCAGCTCCTTCTCCAGCACCACATCTGGCTACACAGTACCATGTTCCGCCATAATGATAACGGACTAAACCTCTGAAACTGTAAGCCACCCACAATTGAATGTTTTCCTTTATAAGAGTTGTCATGGTTATGGTGTCTCTTCACAGCGATAGAAACCTTAACTAAGACACCATCCCACCCCCAATTTTCTTTTGGCCAGTGTCGTCTCACAGCAGAAGAACCAAATGAGGACAATGTGTATTCAAGTAAAATAAAGCTCCCTTCACAGAGCCTCAAACAAGCAAATGCACTTGCAAAAGTCCAGAAACTTCACTCAAGTTCACATATAAGACTCATGAGTAGGCCAGGGTGGTGGTGGCAGTGTACACCTTTAATCCCAGCCTCGGGAGGCAGAGGCAGGTGGATCTCAGTGAGTTGGAGGCCAGCCTGGTCTCCAAAGCAAGTTCCAGCAAGTAATAGCCAGGACTGTTACACAGAGAAACCCTGTCTCGAAAAAAAGACGACTCATGAGTGGATTCAAGAACTCAAAAGCTCAGCAGAAATCAGTCAATGAACACCAACGGGAAACTAAATTACCAAGGATCCCCCTCTTAAGATAGAGCCTTCTCTATAGCACTGACTTTAAGATGAATAAAATAACCTCCAAACTGAACACTGCTTGCTTTTATTCCCCTTCCCTGGAACACAGTTCCTCCAGAACGGAGTAAAATTTGATCAGAGCCACAAAAGACACTGAAGAGAAGGGAGGGGTAGGGCTGTGCTCCTCACATTCTGGAGTCCTTTGAGACGCTAATCAAGACACTGGTCAGGAGGGTGTCCAGCTGGCACTGGCCGTCACTCTGGACTGCGGGGCCGAGGCGCTGCGCTGGTGTGAGAAGGGAGTGGACGCTAGGCAGGACTCCTGTTCCGGCTGCCTCCGGATCTGCCGTTTGCATTGCACAGCCCCAGCTGGCAGCTCAGGAGGCCGTGACCGCCCCGGCTGTCTTCTGCTAAGTAGGGATGAACACACCTACAATTTCTCCTCAACACAGCTAGTACTGCTGTGTGGACCGAAGGACCTAATATAACAAAGGATGAGGCTCTCATTTCTGTTAGTTAAAAGTTCAAGGAAAAGCACACAGGATAACACGTTTGTGCGTCACTGGCATTTCTGATAAATACCCTGACAGCTTAACGAACACCCCGGAGAAACTAAAACACGAGGCAGCTGCTCATCCAGTTTGCACTAGCCGGTAAGTGGTGGTGAGCATCCACGCTGGAAGCTTTTATGGTTATTGATGGTTTATTTAAATAGACTCCTGCACTCCCCTGGGCCCATAGCCACTTCTGCGGAGGAATCAGGCCCTTAGAAAGCCAAGATGGGGAAGTCATGTTAGGAGACAAGTGCTCTGTGGTACCTCAACCATAATGGCCCTGATCAGCATCCATGATGTAAGAGGGCAGTGACCCTTCCTTATGGCTTCCACCCAATTAGCCATAGAGTACTTTGCCGTACTAACATCATCCTTGAAGGAAAAAGATCTTTTACGTTAGTTATGCAGTCTCAGGGAAACGTAACAGTTGTGATGGCCACAGGAAATATGGTAAACTTTGCTCTTTCAGATGCATCCATGTCCTCGCTGGGAGAGAAAAAAAAAATGCATAATGGGAAAAGTTTCAGAGCCAAGAGGCTGGCAGAGTAGAACTGGTGGCCTAGGCTTCACTTTGGGGGCAGAGGGGAAGGACAGAGAGAGGGTGGAAATGGTACTCATGGTGGTCAGGAGAAAGGGATGCCGGACGGAGAGTGAATTCCGTGGCTAATGAGTTCAACGTGCTCAGCCATGGGGCACTGAAAGAGTAAAACTATTTGTGGCTAGAGAAGGACGGCACTCGTTCATTTAAAATGTGTACAGTTGTGGATTATATTGATGATGGATACACATGCACAGATTACATTTATATCTTGCAGGAGTTTGGGGGCAAGGTGGAGACAGACTCAGATAGAACAAAGTTAAGCTGGGCGGTGGTGCACACCTTTAATCCCAGCACTCAGGAGGCAGAGACGGGTGGATCTCTGTGAGTTCGAGGCCAGCCTGGTCTACAGAGCAAATTCCAGGGCAGCCAGGGCTGTTAGACCAAGAAACCCTATCTTGAAAAACAAACAAACCCAAAACCAAAAACAACAACAACAAAGTCCCGCCCACCTAAAAACAAAAGAATACCAATTAGTTAGACTATGGCTGAAGAGCTGAGATCTGCTTCTGGAGAAACTGGGTATCAAAAGCGATGTTGTATATATTTGTTCACGGGCTGCTCTCTAGCTAGGAGAACCAAGCTGGAATAAGTCTCCTCAGTATCACACGGAGCTGGCGCAGAGGACAGGCTGCTTCTGAACGTCTCTTTGGCAACCCAAGTTTGGCTACCTAGTTGCTTATTAGACTCTGAATCCGGGCAAAGTCAATAGAGGAGACGCTGGAACTGGTCCATTTGTGAGCAGTTCCCAAGACTGAGGGGGGATTTAAATGGCCATGCAGTTTGGGTACCATCCGTGGGCTTCTTCGATTTCCTTTGGTAACTTTGTTCCCAGGAGAAGCACTCTTCAAGAGCCAGCTCTAGAAATGTTAATTATAAGATGGGGGTGGGGTGCCGGCCTTCCTAATGGCACACGGCAGATGGGCTTGGTTTTAAGAGGCAGTGGGTAGGGCTGTGTAGCTCACGACATTCATCCATCATTAGACACTGAGCAGGAAAAGCCCATTTGTACTTCCCTGTCAGAGCCACTGGGAACTCTGGGACTCCATGGAGTCCATACAAACAGTGGGAGACTTATGATCTGGGGAGTGGGGAGACCCCAGTGCAGAGGTCTCACTTAGGCAGAAGCCAAGCTTGTGCTACTAGAAAATTCCATGAGGTACACAAAACAGTCGGTGTTAAGACGGATCCAGGCCTACCTTGTTACTGAGGAGTGACTATTTTTATAATTACTTATTTTTTATACTTTTCATGATTATTTTAGTTTACGTGTGTGTACGTGAGTATGCCTGAGTGTATGTGTGTACACAGGTGTACAGGAGCCCAGAAAGCTCAGAAGAGGTGACAGTGCCTCTTTGTTCCAGGACTGTGAACCACCATGTGGGTGCTGGGAAATGAACCCAGATCGTCTGGAAGATCGCTAAGCACAATTAATCACTGGGCCATCTCTGCAGCCCCAGAGTGGCCAGTATAGTGTCTCAAACACACGGAGGACAGCCTGATGACAGTCTGCCTAAAATAATCTATGTAATAATTTGCTATCGTGGAAAGATATCTGGGATAAATTTTGCTGGGGAAAAAAGCAGCTTATAAAAGAACATATTGAATGGATCTATTTTTGTAAATAGTATATCAAAATTTGGAAAAATAGTATGGGAAGAAATAAAATCTCAAAAACCAATTATGTGTAGAAGGTAGGTTTATGGATGTTTTGTTTTGTTTTGTTTTTTCAAGACTGGGTTTCTCTGTGTAGCTTTTGGATTCTGTCCTGGAACTCACTTTGTAGACCAGGCTGGCCTTGAACTCACAGAGATATGGATAGTTTTTACTTTCTCCTATTTATTTACCTGGATCTTCAAACGTTTCTTCATTGAGCATACGTTCCTTACATAAGAAAACATTCTAGAAATGTTTTAGCACTGACAGCTGAAGAGATAGCCCTGTGTATAAAGCACTTGTTAGGCAAGAATGAAGGCCAGAGGCTGGAGAGATGGCTCAGCGGTTAAGAGCGCTGCCTGTTTTTCCAGAGGTTCTTGAGTTCAATTCCCAGCGACCACATGATGGCTCACAATCATCCATAATGAGAACTGGTGGCCCCTTCTGGCATGTAGGCGTTCCTGTATGGAGAATACTGTATATATGATAAATAAAATCTTAAAAAAAAAATGAAGGCCAGAGTTTGGATCCCTTGAACCCATGTTAAGACTGGATGGGGGTGTGTGTGTGGCTAGTCTGTAGTTCTAGGCCCGCAGAGTGCGGAGATGGGACCCCAGAGCAAGCCGAGAAGCTAGATTAATCACATCAGCAAGCTCTAGGCTCAGCCGAGAGATCCTTTCTCAATGAATAAATAAGGTCGAGAGTAACTGAGGAATGTTCCTGATTCCACCCTTGGGTCTCTACATGCACTTGGCACACACACTCACCCCAAGCACCCATACAGGCATCACACATATACCTAAAAATGCATTAAATTTCATTTTAAAAAAATTTTGAAATTGTATTGATTAGCAGTCACTTACTGGTTGGGGACTTCTGAGAATTAAAGAGCAATGTAAAAATTGATTTCTCAAAATTCCCAAGTGCCTTAAGATTTCTTTAAGGAAAGGCCAGGGGGCACAGTGATGACTTCACCGGCTCCAGGATATCTGCAAGAATGTTTAAGATCTGCTGGGTCCTTGGAGCTGTGGACTCTGTTAGTAAAGACACTGTTTAGTTATCTCTTCAATAGACACTAGAAGCCACATTTGGTCTTCTTGCTACTGAAGAAGTAAACACATTTAGAATTCGAAGGCTGGCAAATAAAGATGACAGCTCCTAGTCTTGGCACACGAGTCCCGAATGGAAGCGTTCCTCTTGTTCTACTTCGGGGGATTTAATTCTGCCGCTGTAGGAGTGGGCGCAGCCTCCTTCAGGGAATGAAGAGCGCTCTGCTCCCCTTCACTTAAAAGCTCCCTGTTTTCCCTCTGCATCCCACGCTCATCCAATTGTTCATGTGAGAAGAGATGGGGTTCTGGGGAAAAGAGTTCTAAGTTGGACTTGAGGAGGTAGGCACGGGAGTTGTGTGTGTGTGTGTGTGTGTGTGTGTGTGTGTGAGACGCCGAAGGGCGAGAGGTGGCTAGCCTTGACAGTGGACAGGGCTGGGCTGAAGCCGTGAGAGGAAACATCTTCAGCACTCACTAGACCATTACACAAGAGCAATTCCAAAATCAGCAGGAGCAGCGGACACGCCGGTGCCCTGGATACCTGAGGCAAATGACCGCACAGGCGTAGAACCAACCTGCCAGGGAGAAACCAGGAACCCACAGAGCAGACAGGGAGGCCCATGCGCAGTACTGCCTCATGCTGAAAGGACAGTTACTAGGTTATGCTGGGCTCCTTCTCCAACTCCCTCACTGGCTGTCACGGTGACTTTGGGTAAACACCTAACCTGCTTGTTCTTCAGTTCCCTGATCTGTAAGACAGAGGCAGTGACTGGCCACATCACACAGGGGGATTCAACGATCTAAACAGGAAATGCAAAGCCCTTGGGGTGATGCCAACCACACAGCCTTCCACAGACATTGATTGTCTCTCGCGCTCTGTACAAGGGGATGGCTAGTCCAGATCAGTGTGAGTCACAGACCCTTTTATTCCCCGATACCCAATATCATTACCCTCCGTATCCACAGGGGACCGGACCCTCAGGGATACCAAAATCCATGGATGCTTAAGCCTCTTCAATACAGTGGTGTAGATCTGCATAGACTTACAAGCATTTTGCCGTACACACATCGAGAGAAGATTTACGGTACCCGAGGTAAACACTAATAAATATCAATAGCTGTATCACTGCCCGGGGCCCAGTTTCTTAAACCGTGAGTCATGAAAAAGTCAGCGCCACAGAAAAAAGGCTACTGAACGTACAGCAAGCGAAAGTGAATCCAAAAGCCAACCTGTGCAGGTCTGAGGTGTTTCCAGCAGCATTTGCCTGCACTGTATCATCACGCGACCTCACTGTGATACTGTCAGTGGACATACAACATGCTCTGCATGGCACATGCCATCACCCCCCACCAAAGGGCAAAGCCTGAAACATCTCCACTCCAGTTTGAGACAGCGGCACATTGTCAGATGTGGTGTTCCCACTGAACCTGCGAGGCCTTTTGTTCTTAGAGAAACAAAATGGTTTCGTCATGGGAAACAAAGACTTGAATAGTGTCCTCCCATCACCACCACCCAGCCCCTCTCCCACTAGTGTGCCTTCGGACTGTGCTCCTCGGATGACTGATTTTTAACATCGCCTGCCTGTATTGCTGTCTTGAGCTTCATAAAAAAATTAAATAAATAAAGGAAATCATTAAAGAATTTTGACCTAAGATTAAAACAGAACTTCCAACCATTTCTAAAATGGTCCTAACACACTTCTACCATTTTATACTATGTATTTATGAGAAGCAGTACTGTCAGTACTGATGACCAGTCAAAATACCGACCAACTCTGAAAAACACTGAGGCTGCACAGTGCTCCCTAGTACCTAATATTCAGTCGCAATTTAATTCTTTATGTCAAAAGAAACTGGCGGATCCACCCTATTAGTATGTAAGTTTGCTGTCCTCTTTAAAAATAGTAAAATTATGTGTGCATCAAAAGTGGTTTTAAAATAAACTTACTTATTATTAGTAAATGCTTCATTTTCGTACCTATTTCATATACCTACTGTGGCGGTTTGAACAAGAACGGCCCCCACAGGCTCATACATGCGAATGCTTAGTCACCAGGAAGTGGCACTGTTTGAGAAGGATGAGGAGGATGAGGAGGCGTGGCCTTGCTGGAGGAAGTGTGTCACTGGGGGTGGGCTCTGAGGTTTCAAAAGCCCGGCTATAAACTTATTCTCTCCCTCTCCTCTCTCTGTCTGTCTCTCTGTCTCTCTGTCTGTCTGTCTCTCTCTCTGTCTGCGCATCAGGATGTGGCACTCAGCTCCAGTGCCAGGCCTGCCACCACGCTCCCACCATAACAGTAAGGGACCAAACCTCTGACCCTGTGAGTAAGAGGCCAATTAAACGTCCCTCTTGTTAAGAGGTGCCTTGGTCGTGGTGTTTCTTCACAGCCGTAGAAGAGTAACGAAGACACCCGGGACCAAGTAAACGTTGCTTGGCTGACAAGACATTGCGAGTGGAAAACACTGAAGAAACTTACCTGCACACGGACTTACCTGCACGTGGCGGTGGAATCATCCACCGGAGTACAGACAACCTACCAGTGACTACGACCTCCCCGCCCCCCAGTGACTCTCCGTCCCTCAGAACCAAGCGACGGCAAATCTCTCCATGCTGGAGTTTTGAGCATCTTGATGTCCTACGGGTCTTGTGCAGGCAAGCACAACAGCTGTGAGTTCATGCTTCGTTGATTTTTAACAGACTTACATGTCTTGCCTCCTTTTCATTCTGATGGCTTACCCACGGGGATCTTCATTACACAAAGACACACTTTCTAGCTTTCCCAGGATAAACACTGCACACCTGACAACCATGGCCATGAAGGACCACGAGTAGCATGGCTGGACCATCTGGCATGATGACTCAGATATAATTAATGTTTCCTGAATGAGTACATCCACCAGACCCCAAGGTAGGTGTTTCTGCTTCTTATAGAGAGCATTCTCTGCATCTCTGGGACTAATGCATTAGTTAACCACTAAAATCAAACCCCCATGTGTTAACTATGTGTTTTAGTTTCTGTTGCCTGATGTTCTGACATCTCAGGGCCTTGATAACTAATCAGAGACCACCCCACTCCTTCAGGAGCACTTATATTGGGGGCCACTGTAACCCCGGGTACTGAGCCCCCAAGGCACAGTCCCTCTCCAGACTGCCTGCTGAAATGATTTAGGGCTTCCACCTTCCTACCCTGCCTCTCCTGTTCCTGCCCACACTACCCTCCTCCCCCCTCTGCCGCCTGGCCTGGTGTTTCCGTGTGTGGAAACCCTGGTAACTGTGTCAAGCTCAGCTTCTAAGAGAATGGGAGTAATAAAAAATCTCGCTCAATGACAATCATTTCTGTGTTTCTTTCTTTTTTTTTTTTTTTTTTTTTCAGAGCTGAGGACCGAACCCAGGGCCTTGTGCTTGCTAGGCAAGTGCTCTACCACTGAGCTACAATCCCCAACCTGTGTTTCTTATTACATCAGATTAAAACAGATCTGAGACATCAGGACATCCCCCACACTGTGGAGTCAGTTTTCTGTAAGCAAAGTTTTACATTTTCTTTGTAATTGCCATTAGTTTGCCTTGTGTTAACAATAGTGAACAAAGGCAGTTATGCTTCAGTTTTATTGGCAGACAACTAAAAAGATTCAATTAAAATTATTTCCTGTTAGATAAACGGCTCGGCCCTGGTCTCTCTTCACCGCACTACAATTTAACTGTGCCACCCGTAACTGAGGTTTCTCTGTGGTGACCTCCCGCCCACTCCAATTATCCTCCCCTCAGCGGGCACCTGCATGTATCCTAGAAACCCAGGAGTGCAGTATGTGTCCAGGCCCTGCTGTCCCTGGGAAGGAAGCAGGTGTATCTTCGCAGGCCCAGCTGTGACAGATGTGGACTGGGGTTCTCTGCGCCATGCGCATTCACTGCAGGTCCCGGGGCTGCTTTTGAGCTGGCGTGCTGACGTCACTGCCCATCTTCCCATAACTGGTCTAGAAGTGCTGTCTGCTCAAGCACTGAGGAAGGAGGCTGAGCCACCAACAGATGACGGTCTACACTGCGCCCCAAGACTGGCCTGCCTTCCTTCTCCTTCCTTCCCCTCCATCCCTCCCTCCATGTCCTTCCTGCCTTCTTTCTCTCTTTTCGTTCCTCCTTTTTCTCTGAAACACGTCAAACTACATACACAGCCCCTTCTGGCATGAAAGCACAAGGTGGGCACATATTCTCCGCTCTGCACGTCCAGGGAAGGCCGCAGCACCGAGCCCTGCCTCAGCGGCCCAACTGGAGAAAAGAGACAGGAGTTCTCTGTTCGTTACACACTACGTGGGCTGCACAAAATGAAAACACACC